GGGGTGTGAAGGGAGGCAAATGCTGCTCTTTGAGTCAGTGGTGATCCAGTTAAAATTCTGTGTAAAAGAGCAAGTGTCCACAGTGCAAATTAAGAGCCCAGGCTCTGTCAACAGGCAGTGAAGACCCTCCTAATGGGTAGTTCAGAATACCTAAACCAGAAGCCTAAAATTAAACAGCATGAATATGATAAGCCCATAGTGTCTCAGTAATGTAACTCCCACAAAGAGCTGAGGCTCTATTTACAAATGCAAATGATCTGGGCTTTAGCAGAAATACCTTTGCTTAATGTCTTTTTTCCATGGAAAAATTGAACCTTTCCCCTGTGAGGGGGAATGAAGACCCTCTGAAGGGCTTTCCTGCTAACACAATAAACATCTGTGGGTTCTTTCCTCCCTAATGCTGTTTTTCTAGGGGTCCCTCTCTGATGAATTAGCAGTCCCAGTAGATCGTGGCAAACAATCCCACATACCACATCTTAGGAAATGGTACTTCTTGGAACTGATTGGTTTGGTCTGCCTTAACACAGGCAAGTTAACACCACATTATCAAATGCACTGAGGTCACCAACCTCCACCAGATGATCTGCTTGATCTTTTTCAGACCAAAAAAACAAAAAGAAAAAAGAAAGAAAAAGAAAAGGGAAAAGAAAAAAAGCTTGGATTCCTGACAGAACTCTGAGTGCTCCAAGCTGGAAGCAGTAGGCTCGGTCACTCACAGCCCACCCACCTACAGATCAAGATGGACTGGAACAACCTCCTCCATAAGCCAGAAAAGTGAAGGGGGTTGGGGGGTGGGAGGAAGAGTTTCATATTTCATCTACCACTTTTAATAGAAAACAGAACGTGGTGGGGGGTTGAAAGGAAAATGGTAAATCCCTGGAGATCCCGAGTGTTGGCCTTGCAAGTCAAAACTGTCAATCACACCGTGTGCCCTCCAACTCTACTTTGGGAAGGGGAGCAAGGAAAGGAGGAAGGGACTGGCACGTTCAGCCACTAGGTGTTACTGTTGCTCCACGGACTGTGATCAGAGCAACCACTCTGGAATAAGCAAAACATCCATCAGAGACATCATCTGCAGCTGGACCTGAAGATTTAAACCACAGGAGCTAAATCCTACTTCAGGATTTGCATATTGTGACTCACAAATCAGGGAATTTTGGTGTCTTTTCTTGGGGTGGTCATGGAGGCAGGGTTTTGTCTATATGCCACTGCATGCAGAGCAAGTTAAATTAATCCCTTGGGAACTTCCACTGACTTTGATGAAGGGTCATTGGGAGAATGGGGCTGCTTAAGTTGGCACTGAGTTCATGGCCACTGGTCAGGAGAACGCATTGGCCACTAAGTTGTCTGCCTGAGTTGCCTGCCCCCCCCGCCTCCTCCATGCCTGGCCATGGCCAGATCTCACATTTAGAGGCATTTTAATTAATCTGGATCTCCTGTCAGCTGGTGGGCTGCTCAGACAAGTAATTTAACCTTCCTCTGCTTTGTTTCTCCCTCTATAAAATGGAAATAAAGATCCTCATCTCCTCTGGGAAGGACTTTGAGGCCACAGATCGATCAGAGTTGTAGTCCTTGACAATATGTTGGCATGAGCCAAGCAACAAGGTTTTGCATGAGCTTTTCCTATTTATTTCAGAATAAGTTTCCTGAGAGACACTGAACTGAGTGTTACCCTGCAGACTCAAGACAAAGAGCAGGGCTCCACTGCACCCCTGTCAAAGCAACTTAATGTCCTGTTTCCATTTTCTCCTTTTTCGTAGCCCTACCAAAACTTTTTTCCAGAGAGCTGCCACACTTCATCCAAACCATCATTTACTTAATCAACTACACTTCGAGCCCTGGAGACATATCCCTGCCCTGAGCTTCGTAAGCAACAAGCCTTGAGATTGCAATATTGATTTTCTCCTTCATTTTTAATAACGGGCTACAATGCTCAAAAATAGGTGTTCCTTCCTCTCAATTCCTCTGTTCTAGGCCTTGCCCCCAGATGAACGAGTATAAATAAATGGAGGATGTAGTGCAGGTCCCTGCCTGTACCCACTGAAGAGCTGTTTCTGCACACACACAATAAATGTCATGCAACAAACAGCAACCAGGCAGAGCCTCCCCTCTCATGGTGAGCTGTGCCATGTGGTTGTACTTCTAACCAAGGCAGCATTTTCACACACAACTCCAGTGCTCCAGGGTATGTTTGGTTTTTTTTTTTTTTCCCCAAAGTTTGGAAACATTGTTACAGGACATTAAACAAAGTACCAGCACTGAGCCACAAAAAGCTTATGAAAGATTTTTATTTTTTTTTTAGTTGTTTTCATAGGAAAAATTTTATATGCCACATTAAATGAAATACAATGCAAAATAGTGTTCTCTGAAAGACTGAATGGTTTGCAAGTGCTCAAGTATTATCTGAAAGGTGACTGGCACTACATTTTACTGCTGCTTCCAGTAAAACCTGCAGACCTCTAACTTGGAGGCAAAGTCCTCTGATCTGCAATTCAGGCAAAAAGCATCACGTGCCCTGGTACAGCAGTTGCTGTGTCTCATCACTCGAGTTCTCACTGGCATTTCTAGAGTGAAGAACACTTTTGTTGAAATATTATTGATACCTTGCAGTTGCTTTTGGCTTTTGAAGGAAGGAGGAGGATCTGCCCACAGAGAATCACCTGGAGATGATAATTTTTGTTTGCTACCAAAACATTATGGTGGAAAACCAGCCAGCTAATAAATGCAAGACCTAAAGACATTACCAGCATTGTCTGGAAGTAGTTCACTTACTGCTGGAGTTTTCTCACTGTTGTAGTCTGACAAAGAGTTTTAAATAAGAGAAGTAAAATGATTCATACACATGTGCTCTCAGCAAACAATACACCAGCAACTAACATAACTTTACCCATATGCCTAAGGCAGATCTTGATAATATCAAGTGTACTTGACTTAGATGCCTTTGAAAACGTCACCCTAAGTGGCTTGAAAGCTTAATTCCCACTTTCTAAAGTGACTTCAAGCTCTAAATCACATGGATAAATCCCAAAATTGCAGCCTTAGTTAGCTGTGCTCTCCTTACTCTTCAGTGGCTAATATAAACACACAAAGACCCTATCTGACACTTCATCTAAAAATTAATCCTAATTGCTTTCTGGGCAGCTGCACAAACAGCCAGTTTTACCCAGTTTCAGTTACCTCTTAGTCTTTTTTTTCCCCTCTTCTGTGCTGCTGTCCACAATAGTTCCCTTCATAACACATTTCTCTTCAAGTGCTAATGGCAGCTAATACCACGTGCCAGCTAATGTGAGAGGCTGTCCTGGTTCTTCTCTCTGGGCCACCCTTCCTGTCTTTCCTTTGCAAGTTGTGGGTCTGAAACGTGGAAAACAACAGAGCTGCAGAAAGGATTAATAGGAGTTTTCCCAGTTCATTGTGAATTTGGTCCTGTATCGCACATGAACCTTCACAAGCAGAAAACACACTTCCAATCTGCTACAGCAGAATCAAATTCAGTGCTAGTTGCAACTAGTGTTTTTTCATTGTCTTTGTCCCACCAACCTGAAAACAGAGGGTTTTCTGAAGTTTAAAATACTGTGTGAATGGTGAGGTGCCACTGCCACACTGAACCATCCTAAACTATCCCAATGTAAGGAGTGAAACAACAAATGAGTCTCCAGTGTGATAGAGAAGATTGTACCCCCTCAGTGAGAGCAGGGCAATTCTGGTTCACATTTATTAGCAGTACTAATAATAAACATTTACATTGTGGTAGTGCCTAGAGGCCCTATTTGAAAGCTTGTCTAAAAGTGCTATTGTACCTGGGCACTAAACAGCTCTGAAGCGGCACATCTGTCTGCCAGATGTTTTATTTTCTTAGAAGCTGCAATTTAATAAAGCCTCTTGCTTCCCCTAACGAATAATAAGAATCTCCAGGAGCTTGGCTTCATTGTCCTTTCAAGGAGAATCTGCAGGTAAAATTGCAATGAAACAAGGCAAGGATGGGATGAGTGAGGGCCACCAGGGCAGTGCAGGAGCACCGTGTGAGCTTTAGGTGTGTTTAGTATCTGGCTCTTGCTTTCCAGAGGCCAGAGGGACCAAGGGGACACCTCTCCCCAAAACGGTGCAGGCAGAAGGATTCGCTGCCACACAATGGACACAAAAGCTGGGGGTCCCCTCAGAGCTCACTGCTTTGGATTTACAGGCGCTACAAACCCACTGTGGGCAGCCAGCAGGTTTGGGCTTGGTGGTCCCTATTGCATCTTTCCTTGAAAGGTTGCACGGGAACAGTGGAGGTTTGTCTGCTCATGGCTCAAAGTTTGGTACCTACGGGCAGAAAAATGGTCTGAGAGGGACCTTCCACTTTCTCCTCCTCCTGCCCTCAGAGTGTTGAGCTGTCCCTCCGCTCCTCAGCGCTCAGGAATCGCACAGCTGGAGGGAGCCCCGTGCGGGAATCCTGTCCCTTTGTGAAAGCAGCAGCTGGGAAGCGCCAGCAGGACTTCACCCTTCTCCCCGCTGGTCACCCTGTGTTCCCCGGACCAGATCAGCGTGTGGAGTGTAAAGGATCCCTTCACCCTTTCGCTGTGAGACCTACTTACTCCGGCAGACGGATCCGCGGGCGGCTCGGCCGGGCGGAGCGGGGACACCGCGGGGACACTGCGGGGACACTGCGGGGACACAGCGGGGTTGGACTGCTGGCGCTGCGGGGGCACAGCGGGAACGTTCTGGGAACACTGTGGGGGCACGAAGGGGACGAAGCGGGGACACAACGAGTGTCTGGGGACACAGGGTCAGTGGGGGCACTGAGGGGACACTGTGGGGACGCGGCGGGGACGTCGCGGGGTCTGAGGGAGCCGCCCCCTCACGGAGCCGCCCCCTCACGGAGCCGCCCCCTCACGGAGCCGCCCCCTCACGGAGCCGCCCCCTCACGGCGGCCGCGAGCCCCTCGCGCGCACCGCCCCCTTCCCGCCCCGCGCCGTCACGTGACGGCGGCAGCGCCAATCGCCGCCCGCCTCCCTCCCGCGCGGACGCGTTGCCGGGCAGCGGCCGCGGTGGGGCGCCGTCACCCCCCTCCCCCCCGCCATGCTGAGGGCGAAGGTGCTGCTGGTGGGGCCGCGCGAGGTGAGCGGGACCCCCGACAGGGACCCCCCGATAGAGTCCCCCCGACAGGCACCCCCCGACAGGGACCCTCGGCAGAGACCCCCCGATAGAGTCCCCCTGACAGGGACCCCCCGAAAGGGACCCTCGGCAGAGACCCCCCGATAGAGTCCCCCTGACAGGGACCCCCCGAGCCCCGCGGGAGCCCTGCGGCAGGAGGGAGGGAGGGAGGGAGGGAGGGAGAAGGGCCCGGGGCTGAGCGGGAGGGACAGCCTTTGGGGGGCTCGGGTGGGCACCGCCGCTGTGGCTGTGGCGCGTTCAGTTCCTGCTGGGTGTCTTTCGGCCAGTCTGGGAAGTCGGTGCTGGCGAACTTCGTGTCGGAGAGCACGGAAGGGATCGGGAGCTACAGCCCGACGCAGGGGGTGAGGTGAGCGAGACCCCCGAGCCCTGTGTGCCGACCCCGAGCTCTGCTGTGCTGCTGCACAGGAGCCTATTTCACCGGGTATCCATCATTTCCCGCAGGATCCTGGAGTATGAGAAGCCAAACCTGAATGGGAACAGCAAGGGAGCTGGGTGTCGATTCGAGCTGTGGGATTGCAGTGGTGACCAAAAGTAAGCCACGTCCTTGGTACTTAACCCGATATTTCTGTTTGCACAGGTTATTCAGACCTCAGGCCTAAAACCAGTGATCTGTTTGAGACGAGGAGTATTCCTGACTCTTTACCCCAATATATCCTTCTATAGCTTCTGCTGTAAAGCATCTGACATTAGGTACTCTCTGCCGTGATCACAGCTGAACTTTGTTTTGCATAATATATGCAAAATATTTACTGAACATACCAGTAAAGTCCACAGCTCCTGGAATAGAATTACAGGTAAAGGAGACAGAGGCCCACTTGTAATTGCCTTTATCTCCTTGAAGCTGTTACGTGAGTGAACTTCAAACAGTGTATGTATATGATTGAGCCCTAAATTTCCAAAAGATACAATTGGGAAAGGGACAGATCCATTTTTAGGGAAAAAGGTGAAACAAGCACTTGACCAAATAGCAGATTGTCAGCAAACCATAGGACCAAGTAGCATAGTAGGTAAGACAAAGTAGTTGGAATATATAGATCACTGGCAAGATTACTGATCTTACAATTAAAAAAAAACCCCACTTAAATGTCTTTTTGAAGAGGGAAGAAGAAAACTTGAGGAAGTTTGGGTGCATGTTCCTGTTGTCCAGCTGTCAATCTTGCCATTTGCTGTTCTTTCAAGGTTTGAAACGTGCTGGCCAGCTCTGATGAAGGACTCTCATGGGGTAATAATAATCTTCAACCCTGAGCTGCCCAGTCACCTGAAAGAAATTGAGATGTGGTACTCCTGCTTCGTGCAGCAGCAGCCACTGCTCGACAGTCAGTGTCTCCTGGTGGCACATCACAAGCCAGGCAGTGCAGAGGACACAGAAAACCTGTCCCTGGGTAAGGAGGTGGGAAACTCCACCTGTAACTCGGAGCTTTTCACTGACCTCTGTGTCTTTAAAATTGTTCATAAGTTATGCCTTGCAATTTTCATTTGAATCTGCCAATTAAAGAACACTCTGCAACACCAGAAATAATTGATCTCAAGGATATTCCTGCTTCACAAAAGGGAAAGTAAAGGCAAGCAAAGTTTTGAGTGGCTTCTCTAAGGTCACACAGTAACTTTGCAGCTGAGCCAGGAATTAGAACTCCTGCCATATTTCCTCATCAGTAGTAGTGTGGTTCTTCCATTGGATGGTTTTTTGTTAACTTTTGAGGCTGTTTAAGTCTGCATTCTATCAATCAAAAGAACAGGAGCCCTTTGAAATAAGAGGCTAATGATCTCCCTTTTAAAATCAGTGCCTTATATACTGCAAAATTATTTGTGGCTGTTTATATCAGTGAAAACACACGCTCTGGGCAACCTGTTCCAGTGTTCAAACAACTACATATTTGTTATAAGTATTAATATATTAACACATATTTAATATAACTGTATGATTCCATAACTTTGAAGTAATCAAAAAATGTCATATCACTTCAGCAGTAAAACTGTAGTTTAGTGCTGAATTGTTTGATTCTGTCTAACTGAATATGAGTCCAAAACCAGACTTTAAGCTTTAATAATACTGTTTGAAGAATTTAATTTGGCAATAAGCTGGATTTGTTTGTAAAGCTGACAAGCTCTGCTGCATTTCTTCTTCAGGTTTTGTTTGGGGTATCAGACATTGGGTACTACTGAATTCCAGCTGACTCCAACATGAGCTGTCCCATGACTTCGTGACTATTTCTTTTTTAAAAGGAATATACTTAATTGTTTTTTATTTACTTTCAAAGCTTACCCACTGAACAAACTAAAACTAATACATTCCAACTTGGAGGAAGATCCTGAAGATGTTCGGATGGAATTCATGAAATACTTCAGAAGCATTATCACCGTAATGAATGAGAGCAGAGAGAGGGAAGAAATGTCAATTATCTCATAACATTAAAAAAAAGTACTGAACAGGGAAGAAAAAAATTATAGTTTCCCCCTTGTAAGCCTGTGAATGGGTCCTCACAAGGAGAATTTGCCAGCCTATAAACACTTCAGCCTGGAAAGAAGTGCTGACATCAGGTGAGCTGTGGTGCCAAGGAGAGGGCTGCACATCCAGCAACCTGGGTAACTTTACAGCTGCACTTTGGCATCAGAAGTACAGGAAGGGATTTTTTAATATGTTAGTGTGGACCAAAAGAGAAAGGTTTGGGTCGTCCCTCACAGAAGCCCTTTGTGCAGAGGGGTCAGAGGATGAGGCCTGACAGAACAGAAGATTTGTGGAGTTGTGCTGAAGCATCTGAGTAAAGGGCTCATGTTAGCTGGGTTCCTGGGCAAGTTATGCCCTTGGAAGTCAGAACACACTGACTGGAATAGAGATCTGAGAGTAGTCGTGGTGTGGAATCCACGTTTTTTTATGTTCTTCCTGCACAGGCGTTGCCTTGGCCTGACAGAGCTGGTTGCAGTCCTTCTCAGGACTAGGTTTTTCTTCTATTCCAACAAAATACACATGTTGTGAGGACAATGTTTAGGTCCCTCTGGGAGGAAAAGAATTGAAATCTCAGTGTAGTGCAATATTTTGACCTATGTCAGGAGCTCCAGCAGAGAAAAAAATAGTTCTGCTTTCTCAAAGGAGGAAAAGCTGTTTCGAAACTTTTATTACTGTTCCCTGTTGCATTAAAATAAGTGGTTTCATAGATAATTTACTTTGACTTGTTTGGTTTGCACTCATCCCTGTTATTAGTGTGTTTTGCTGTGGAAGACATTTTTTGTAACACTCATTACTAAGGCAATAAAAACATTTTTAAAATGTTCTGTTCGCAAAGGGAAAGTTAATTATAGTTTTGTGAAACTCTTAACAACTTGCTTAATTTTTAGTAAGGAAAACAAGAGATAAACATTTCACCCTACTTAGGTCTAACAAGAGACATTTACAAAAACTTGTCACCAACCCAAACAGCCAAAGAATTGACACCAACACTTGAGTAAACAGCCTTTACACAAAGTATGTTATAAACCAGGAAACAACAGGATTGAGAGCTTCTTGGGTTTTCTTCCACGTTAATTAATCTATTTTTATTATTTTCATAGTTCTTTTCTGAGTGATGAGTGGCCTGTCCTTATGCAATGGCATGGGAGGTGAAAAATTAAAAGATCTTAGAACAGCTCCAGGTCATCAAACTCATGGCTACAAATAACACTCTGAACCATACTGAGCTGGCCTCGAGTTTAGAACTTCCCTAAACTGCTCCCCTGGTTTGCTCAGGTGGGCCCTGGCTGTGTGAAGTTGTGTGCACACACAAATAACCTGCACTCTTCTGCTTTTTGGGGGCTTGATGTCCTCACCAAATCTGCCCCAGCTCCTTTCCATTGCCTGCTGGCTCCTGCTCTGCCATTAAAGCTGAAACCTCCCCTTGGTTCTGGGAGGCAAAGAGGGAGGTGGTACTGAAGGAAAACATCAGGGAGAGGAAGGACACCAGGAAAGAAAAAAAGCAAAATAAGCAGTGAAGAGATGAAAAGGTTGGAGGCGAATAGTGGGAGGTTGGCATTTCAACATCCACGTTTTATTTATGTGACTTTGGAACCATCAGGCTTTATGTGCTTGCAATCAGTGTCATAGGGTGGTCTGTTGGAGGCAGTTATTGGAAAATTCACAATCTAACTAAAGAACAGTTTTTTACATGCTGCCTTAGATTACTTTTTCCTCGTTGCCAGCTGTGTGGTGCTGGAGCCAATTTTTAAAATATATTGCCTTAATAAATTCAGTTTTTCCCAACAGCAACATTGTGATATGCACTGGTAAAAGACTGGTGTGAAACCCAGCAAATATTTTATTTGGAATGTAAAACAGTGTTTGGGTGATTCCAGGGTTGAAAAGTCAATGAACTCTCCTGTTCACCACCTTGCTTCATATAATATGTTAATCATGAGCTTACTTTAATCTCAAATAAAGGATGTAAATTACAGGTGTCTTTATACTGCAACACACTGTTCATTAGAGAAGAAGAATAAGAAAGACAGAGCCCTAGACTTGACTTTGTATCATCCAAAAAGGTCATAATATGCAATAAATGTGGAACATCATTCGTAAAATCTGGCCAAGAGAGTAATTCCTGTCACTGCTGAAGAACAGAGTAAACACACAGACTCATGCAAAATTAATCCTTAGTACTGGAGAAGAGAAGGTATTTATTCAGAAGTATCTTTCAATAATGATTTATGAAAGAGGCCATCAGAGGCACCTACTTGGAAGGGAGGTATGAGAATGCCAGCTGAGCAGAGTTAGGTCTCTGTCTGCCCTTCCCAACCCGCCCTTTCGTGCTGTCGGAGTCTGCAGAGCCCCCAGGGACGCCCCATCCCAGGGTTACTCCTTGGGCTGTGCAGGTCTGTTTGTGTGCCTGAAGCCACGTGGTTGGGAAGTGACTGTCCTGTGCTCTGTCCAGACTTTTTGAGAGGCCAAAGAACTGCTCAGAAAAGTGTAAAGGAAAGTGGGAGCACGTGGAAATCAGCCACGAGTTCCCCGGCAGTCGGCTGGCAAGGCACGGGTTTAACCACGAGTGGGAACAATTCAGGAGCAGAAGGGGACAGCAAGTTTGCAGCAAAAGCACTCTGTTTTAGTATTCCACACTGAGGAACCTGCCCACCATGCTGGGAAGTTTGGAAAGGCTTTTTTGGATGGACTTTCCAAGAAGTGGAAGGGAAGGCAGAGAACTAGGCAAGCCTGCCAACTCCTCCAGACATGTGGCCTTCTCTAGGTGTCCTCGGGCTCTCAGAGTGTCCCCTTCGTGTCCCCTTCTCATCCTGGCAGCAGCCACGGTCCCCAAACCCCTGCTCTGGATCAACTATGCACAAACTGGGAGTCTCCAAGTTCCCTGTCCTTTCTGTGGATCCTTGACCACACTGGAATTCAGTAGCTATTTGTTCCAGTGGCTTTTCTGTGATCACCTGCACTGTCATGCTTTGGGGAACTGAGGCTGGAATGAGGGGCATAGAACATTTTAAATATTAATTAATTAATTCTAACACATTCAGCCTCCACAGTGCAGAATCTAAAGACTCCAGGATATGCCAACTGTGCAGTGAGAAAACAAGCCATTACTTCAACAGGAATTATTGAGGTGCACCATTATTTTGTCACTTGGCATTAAATATTGATAATCCTGACATCTTACATCCCTTTATTTAGGATGTACTGAAATTATTTTCAGAGTTTTATTGCTGTATAGCTTCAAAAAACTTTATAGCTATTGGTGAGCTCTGCTCAAGTTCACACTTGTCTCCCATGAAAGCACTTGGTCCATCATTCCTTTGGACAGTTGACCTGCCTGGACATGGAGTCAGCATGGAAATTTGATAGGGAGCAGTCTGAATGAGAACTCTGCAGGGCTAGAAATGCAGAATTTTAAGACTTCAGGTTTATATCTATAAAGTTAAAGACCATGGCTACCCTGCAGGCTGGTGATTCAAGACATTTAAGCTCTTCAGTTAAGAGTTTGCTCTTACAAGCTCTTTGCTGCACACCCAGAACATAATGAAGCCAAAAACTGCTTGGGATGACGGAAACAGTTACAGGCAGCGCAGCCCAGATGTGTGACTGTTTTACAACTCAGCTCTGGGAGTAGCAGCAAAGCTGAATGAAACACATTTGGGCCTTACCAAAAAAATGCAGCTCTCTTTTCAAGTCAGATATTTTGAAGGCCAGGCCTTTGGTCCCAGTTGCTCTCAGCAGTATTGTTCCAATGGACACAATAGACATAAGAAATCCCACGCTCCCGTTTCCATTATTGTGCTGCCAAGTGACTCGAGGGAGTCACAGAGGCCACCACCCTGCACAGTGTCCACCCAGGCTGGGGGTTTGCACCCTCAGTTTAAAATCTGCAGGGTGCTGACATGGAGCTGCTTTAGGAAGCAACTTCCAGGTGTGGATTTTCACACTGATCCATCTTATGTTATTCACTTAGGACAAGATTCCCCCCTGACTGACTGAGGTTTGCATAACTAAACACCTCAGAGAGGCACCTGCTTGGAATTTGCTGAGAGTTCATCCTCTGAAAATCATTTCTTCGCAACCAGGAGTATCTGAAACCTCTCACCTCATGCTGTAATCACAATGGCTTGTGCAACCCATGCTTTGGCCACCCATGCTCAGAAAGCTACAATAAACCAGGAAAAGGCCACTCATTGAGACAAGAAGAAAGAAACAATTGTATTGTTTTTTCACTCTCGTGGCAAACAGGCTCTCTCAGCGTCCTCGACAGCCCGACAGGAATGAGGGTTCGCACACTTCCATGTTAGGTGCAAAATGGAACACTTTATTAACGTGGCTCCTGCCTTTTATGCTTTTAAGTTATGTCAGTCAGCTGCCAGAACTGCTTAACTATAAATTGGCATGGTAAAATAAGGAAACTTCTTAATTCTTCCACTGAAAGCTTTTTGGAATTGGTAATGCAACACTAGGCCTATTCTTTAAATTTCAAGGGTATCCTATGCTTTCAACTTGCCTATAACCATTCACAGTTTTAAGCTGTGTACTTTTAAACTGTTAACTTCATCAATGAAAAACTTTTGATAACAAACAATTCAACAACTTGTGATCCAGGATTACCTCAACAATTTCACCTTGAATAGCAAAACTTTCAACTACAGTGAACTTTTAAACCATAAGCAATTTAACAACCTGTGGAAATTTGCCGGCATAACTTTTCAACTGTGATCTGAGGTACCAGAGTAAAGAAAATAGAGATTAGTCATTATTTCAAGAAGAAGGAAAAACAGAATTTATGAAATTAAGCAAAGGTTAGTTACTAAAACTTATCAGCTTATCACCATTTCTCCTAGTTTGTCATATGGATAATGCATTTGAGGTAGTTCTTGTTGCATTTTTTTAAGCTCACACACACATTCACACGAACTCTCACGTTGGCCACCATCACTCATGCTAACACACTCTCAAGTTTATTTTATGGTGTCGTTCTTTATAAAATACACTTTTGTTTTAGCAAACATATTACTTGTAAAACATAAATTTTCAATTCAAAACTCAAAAACATATAAAGTTTTCTATGAAATAAAAACTATAACGAAATTTAACTTATGGATTATGTTGTAAAGAAAAGAGAAAACTGAAGAAAAGGTTTTGGTTCCATTTTGCTTTTGGTTATGCTGATGGCTTATGAAGAGATGGTCCAGTGTCCTCTGAGGAGCTTTGGTGAAGTTGGTTCAGTTCCTCTGTCACTGAGAGGGCTGTCAGTTGTTTTGCCCCAAGTTTTTTCCAGGCCCTCTGTTTTTTCCATCGCTCTCTTCTCCGCTGTCCTGCCGACTGAGCTGCCCTTACAGCTGTTGTGGATTCTGTGTGATATGGTGTTAAAGCACCAGCAAGGTGTCCATGGGCACCACACCCATTTTTAAAGTAAAGACAGGGACTGTTTTGAATAGGAGCACATGGCTGCTTTCTGGTCAGCTCTAGCCCCGACGCCCAACGCACACATCGATCGCGAGCCCTCCTGTCTGTGGTCTTTTCAAGCATGTTAAAAATACCTTTCCAACCTTCCACTGCCTCTGCTGCTCGCCTGTCTCCCCCCCAAATCAGCTCTCCCCAGTACAGCTCCTATTCTGGCCCATTCCAAATATTCTAAATGCTCTGGGACAGCTTCATGTTCATAAACCCATTTTGTTAGTGCCTTTAATGATTTTTTTACTCACAGGGAGCCCGTGTTCCTTTAGAAAATCTTTCAGGCGCCTATAAAATTCAATCTCATTTTTTGCCAGTCGGGCTCCCACCTTCTAGCTCTAGGATAGGTAGGGGATGTTAGGGTTCACCGCCTCTCACCCAGATCCTGTCGCTTGGTCCAGGTGCACGCGTGGTGACCGTCGGGATCTGCCGTCGGTTCTGCTTCTGCACGTCCCCCAGATCAGCAGGTGAGTTCTCTGCACTTCAGAGAGCTCAAGCCCGCCCGCGTTCTCCACCAGATGGGGCAAACAGGCTCTCCCGGCGTCCTCGACAGCCCGAGAGGAATGAGGGTTGGCACACTTCGATGGAGGGTGCAAAACGGAACACTTTATTAACGTGGCTCCTGCCTTTTATGGGGCAGGAGCAGAACTTGCTGGAACGAGGGGAGCAACTGGGAAGGAGCAAGGGCGGAGTATGTAAACTGGGACCATACAGGGAGAACAAGGGGAGGAGCATATCTATGCTCCAATGTCGAAGGCATAAAATAGGGGTACAATGAAAGAGAATAAACACATTTTCTCAAAAACTGGGACCCAATACACTCTAGTAACACAGGGAGAGAAGGCATTTGCTTGATTTCTGCAAATATAACCCAAAGAAAGAAAATTAACTGTATTTACTTGGACATAAGATAACAGGAGGAGGGATGCTGTTGCTGGGTCATTCTAAGGTACACAAACCTAAATATAAAGCACTCTTGTCATCTTTGTCATCTGCTCCTTTTGCTTGTTCTCCCCCCACTCTTGAATTGTGTGAGGAAATAACTGGACCTTGAACACAAGGTGACCTTGTATTTAAGCTCTTTTTTTTTTTTTCCCCGAAAGAGACAAAAAGCAGAGGAAACCTAATACTCACATTCTGTTTGTGTATAATCTAAACTAAAAGACAGCTTTGGCACAGTAATATATGTGAACAAACCAGCCACTAATAACTCTAGTCTGGAAATTGAAGAAGGTTTCTAACAGAGTGGGAAAAACCTGGTTTCAGAACAGTGCTTAATTAACAGTTTGTGATAGACTTTTGCTGAACTTGATCCTTCTGGTCCCTCTTATGAAAACAAGAGGCTTATTTCTCATTATTCATGCAGGTATTTTTCTACAGAGGTGACAGTGAACCAGAACATCAGCTCTAAATTTCCTTGAACTTTGAGAAGTTTGGATTCTGACTCATACTCACCAGCTGGAGATCAGTTGAAGACATAGGCTGTATTTACACATATGCAGAGGAAATAAAGCAATTTGGAAGGCTTTAAGAAGAAAAGTAACACAAGTTTTCTCTCACGTGAGTCTCACTTGGGAGAGTGCTGTCTGAGGATGGGCACTGGGTTTTGCTTGCATAACTCAGACAGAAACAAAACTTGCCACATGTTTTGCTGAGTTCTATTGTCTCTTCCTCCCTTTATAAGAAAATTAAAGCCCATTTCTCTCCTAGTTCCATGAAATCTATCTGAATCCTGGTAACATGTCTCTGAGAATTTGCTCAGAGGGAATAACAGACAAGGGTACACCCTCCATTGCTATGTTACTGCTCCATGAGTTCCAGACAAAAGCATTTCTTGTGGTTTGGCAGCAGCCATCTATGCCTAAAACCCTGGGATTGCATTGTTCTTTACATGCCAAAAGTTGATTTAGTACCTACAGGCACAGAACGCAGGGTTTATCTTTTTAGGAAGGATCTTCAGGCTTTCTAGACTGCTGGGGTCACCTCCCACAGCCAGCAACACCATTTGGGGGAGTCACACCAAGGTGGACTGTGAAGAACAGGCCCTCAAAGATGCAAAAGGTCTGCCCTGCAATGAATATTCCCAGATTTTTATCCTGACCTAGGTTAAATGGTAATACTCCAGAAACTGAGCAACTGACTGCCAGGCCCATCATAATAACTCTGAATCATTAAATAAAGATACATCTTCAGGAAAAAATATTGGTAAGGCTCCAAAATAGTTCTGCTGTGTTTGGAATTCTAATAATGGTCAGCAAGCTTAACTGGAAGTTCCAATGATTCAAAGGTCTTGCAATCTTGCTTATCTGTAGCTCAGATAATGAGCCTGGGACCTAAACACAGCTATTAGGAGGCCCTTCTTCTGCTGGGAATGGTGTATCTTTACTTTTAAAGCAGATCATTAAAAGTAATGTCTAATGAAAACTCCATCTGTTTTCCATTGAGCAGACACTTGGCTTTTTTATTTTTTATTTCTAAGGTTGGGTGAAGGTTTGCAGCACACAGGGCTGACACTGTCACACTGTAACAGGACAAGCCAGCCCTTGAAGCAGTTCCTTTGTCCAGGGAAGTTAAATATTGGGTATATCTCGATCTATTAACACCAAGCTAACCTTTTAGACCTTTAATTTCTTTCCTCTCCAGGAACTGGAGAGAGATGCACAAATATGAAGTGCAGTATAATAAATCCTAAGTCACACAGACCTGCACAGGACTGAATCTACAGACCGTAAAGGTTATTTTACAAAGCATTAGCAATAAAAGCAGAGACTTGCCACTCTGTTCTCCTCTACTCAGCTAAATGGGAATTTCTGAGGCCTGTGAAGACACAGGGTCTATGACACAAAGTTGGGTAGTTGTGATCTCTACAACACTCCTACAGTTTTCTATAACATGAACCCACAGAAGCCAAGCAGCTGCATGTGCAGTTTCCATTGCTAAATAATTCATTTGCCAGTCCCAGAAAAACCTGGGAGTATTAGACACACAAACATCTTATGCTAAGTGCTGTTGAAGCCTCATTTCCAACAGGTTTGTGTCTTAAGGATTTGCCCAAGTGTAGATTTTCTGTCCTCTTGGAAGAGTCTTCTTTTCTTATTCCCTATACAGACATGGCTACCTACAGGAATGAACTTTTTAGGAAAGAAGAACAAGAACATAGAACAACACAGAACAAGAGCAAACATGCATAAACTGATTATGGAAATTAAAGGGTTTCTTCCTATCAAAGGAAGGAAATTCTGGAGCAAACACCCAAAAAAAGTGGGAAACTGGGAGGATAGGAGGGATGACAAAGAGAAAGGAGCATATTTTTGAATAGCACAACCTGTTTTATGAAAAAGACTGGGAACTTGGCTCTCTGCAGAAGCAGAAGACTGGACTCAGCAACACAAAAGATCATTTTCAATTCTAGGTTTCCTTTCCCCCTTTCCAAACCAGAACTATGAGAATTCTAAAGGAAAAATAATGTTCTTTCTCTGCACTTGCCTGTGCAAACATGTAAGTTAAAATCCATGTCACCTCTTTCCCCTGCTCTGGCAAGGACAATAAAAAGCAATGTCATCTCTTGTGTGGCCCATAAGAAGTATAAATTAATGATGTTTTAATATCTATTCAATGTGGCAAACAAGTCTCATATTTCACACAGCTTTATAAATAAAGCATATCTTATATGATTGATCACTAATAAAAAAATAGAATCAAGGAGGTAAAATAGAAGGACGAAGTAACAGAAGATTGCTTCTTACCCTTTGCTTTTGTAAAGAAAATGAGACTCATGTTTATGTTTGTTTATATGAGTTGGCTCCAAATAACTCTGGAACTGGTTCATAATTCCCACTCAAATTTTAAATACTTGTGATATTTAATTCCTGCAAGTTTCGTGAAAGTAGGCAGCCAAGTCAAGACAGATTACTCATCTCTCATTGAAGAAACAGGCTAAAATGAACTCAATCCCCATTAAACATCAGAGAATTTATGCAGAAACACAATCCAAGATATAAATCCATAGGAAAAAAATATTTTACTGTTTGCAGAACTACTTGTATTGAATGAGATCACAGAGATATAACATCAGTATGACAGAATCTAATCACCACTCAACAAACATTTTGGAAACAAGTCAGCAACCACATCTGCTTCACCAGAACCAGAGCCTCATGTGACAGGAAGCTTATTAGAGACCCCGTCTCTCATTATTTTGTTTTTCCTTATAACTTCCCAGCATGAATATTCAATATTGCAAAATAAAGCAGCTTCCTTCACAGACCGTCCAGAATGGAGACAGAAATTGTGTCAGACATTCCAGATCCTGAAGAAATGGGTGCCTGTGGAGCTATGGATTTCTACCAGCAAAACATCTGGCACAAAACAACATCAAAACATGAATAACTTGCTTCTCTTTCGTCTCAACATTGGTGTGAGGCAAGAACAACTCCTCTGAAGTTTGGTTGATGTATCAAGCCTGAAAACAAAACAAAAAGAGAAGAAAATCAGCCCTTTAAACACAGCAAGACATCTTAAAGGAATATAACTCAAAATATCTTATTTTCTCAATAGCATAAAATGTTACACTGTGAGACATTTTTCTTGGTTACTACTCAGGAAGGAGTTGCTTCAGAATACTCTGAATGCAGTTTAGGGATTCCCATTTGGTGTTCTTTCATGGCTTTGGTCATAGCTCTGGGAGTCAGAGCCTCTGAGCAGGGAAATTTGGTAAAATTTGGAGGTAAAAACACCACTCACACGAGCAGCTAAAAACACCACTCATGCAAATCTGCCCAAGAGTGGAGCCAAATATCCAAAGGGTATCTGGGAGCTCTGTGTACTCAGCTGAAACACTTCCTGAAGCGCAAGGAGTTCATCTCGAACACTTCTAAATTAGGTGTCCATGTGCCTCAGCACCTGATTCGCCTCTGCAGTCACAGTTCTTGATGTGAAAACCACGTGAGCCTGCCCTTCCTCGCTGTTCCCAGCAGTGGGATGTGTTTGGGAAGGCTGGGGCTGTGGAATGTGTTGTAGGACTGAAGGATGGGCACCTCCATCTGTCGTGTGGTGTCAGTCACACGACACCCCAACGGCTCCGTCTTCCTTCCTCGCTCTTCAAATCTGCAGGAGTTTGTCTTGCCCACAAAGCAGGACTGGCAGAGGGATGTGGCAGTGCTGAGCAGTGGGATAGCAATAATTTCCCCTGGCAGGGAGGTCTTGCATGCCCACATCAGGGCCCTGTGGTGGGCAGGCATGTTTTATACACACATAAGCTCTCTAACAGGGTTACACTCTGCAGGCACATCAGGCAATATCTTCCCAAAGTCTCTGGATAATCACTCTTTCTTCTTTCTCCCTCACCTTGAGGACAGATAAAAAGCCTTTCAGGGAGATCTTAAGTCAGCGTTGCCATTTCAACCCCACAGATGTCAAAGTGATTTTTATACTCTTTCTGCTCAACTAATTGCCAAGCCTCAACAAAGGGACTTTAATGGGTTGCACCAGGCAATAAACCATCATCTATTGGCTCTAGGAACAAGGAAGGAAGAGAGGGAATGTAAAGCTGGAACAAAGCACAGACCCAGAGCAGGTCCAAACTGATTTATCCCAAGATTTGATACCAGATGTTCTATTCAGACACCTTTAACAGAGCTCCACAGAACACTAAATGCTTCTCATGTTTTCAGTATTCAACCCACTCCATCTGGGCACTTCTGCCACAGGGCACTAACAAAACACTGCTCAATATTAATCAGAGAAGTGAGTTTTGCTCTGCAAGTTCAATATAAAAACGGTAAGAGCAAACACATGTGAAGCTGAACACAACAGAGGAGTTGTCTTGGATTACAGCATTTCTATACTATGCCCAAAGTCTGATTTTAGGGAGAACATGTTAGTGACAAATTACCACAAATATTGTGCTAAACTGCAGCACTCTGTATCTCTGATTAATAAATATCCAGTTCATAATATGCCAAACTCCTGTTTCCTTGTTTACGCAGAGTTTCCATGCACTGTTGCACAGCTACCACTCCATGGAAAAGCTGCATGCTTTTTCTTGGACATCTTTTTGGGTATCACTTCTTTACAGATAACATTAATTTCTGCCTGTGCCCACTTTTAGCCCCAAGGACTCCTTGTTCTCCAATTAGTTCCTTCTCTCTAGCCCACCAACAGCCTGTAGCCATATGTAGCAAGAATTACTATTACTTATGGCCCACATGTGTGCAAAATCTTTTTCCAAATAATTTTTGTTCTCAAAATCCAGGACTACTCACATTTGACAAGCCATACAAGGCTGTTGGGACTGGGCAGTGGCAGCTGAGGTCACTTCTCCCTTATTTTCTCAGCTGCCAGCACACCTTCCTAGTCTCTCTTTGCTGATTCAATTCTGCAAAGGGGAAAGATTGCAGGATCTGGCCCGATTTTCTCTCTCTGCAGCAGCTCCTTTCCATCATGGATTTAATTACCTGCTTTTCTTAACCGGCTCCATCTATTGCCACCTCTTCTTCCTCCTCCCTTGCATCTTTTGCTCCCTGAATCATCAGTAACTCAACTCAGACTACAGCTCTAGCTTAAAAGATGGGACCTTCCAGGTTGTCTCCTGTCCTCCTGAAAGGCTGACCGCTTTGCCAGACTTCCCTTCCAAGTTCCTTCTGTAAGCGTCTGTATTTTATTAAATCCTCGTGCACCCCACCACGTGTAGCTGGACTGTGGGATGTGCAGAGCTGCCTTTGTCCCAGCGCCATCGAGCTCCTGTGTGTTTACTCCGCTCAGGCACTGGATGGTGCTCTTGGCACTTCCATGCCGGAAAAGCGCTTTCCAAGCAATCCTTCTTCTCCTGAGAACTGTAAAAATTCCCCCGGGTCAGATAGTGTTGCACGTCTAAGCCTCTAAATCCCGTGGGAAGGGCATGTTTTGACTACACAATGTAGCTGAAACTGCAGTGGAAGAAGCTCAGCCAGGTAAGGACAAATGCCAGATGAAATGTCACTGCCTGTGACACACAAATCCACGGAGTAGGGGCTTTCACATCCGTCCTCAAATATTTTATTTGCTAATTGGTTCCTTATCAATGCTCCCCATGGCAACGAGAGAGATTTAAGTGGCACAAAGTGGGCTGAGTGACATTATGTCTGCATGTAAATGTGACTGGGATTGTGCACGGAGGAGATGATCCGAGGGAGGTTAACAACGTAATGTGAAACCCCCTGTGGTCTCAGAGGGGAAAGGAGCTTCTTGATGCTGCCTGAGTGGTGCAAGAGCCAGGCAGGGAAGCTATCTCAGCAGCAAACATTTTTGAGAGAATCAAACTGAGATTCTATAGAAAACGAGTTTCTTTGATCCTTTCACCTGCTCAGAAGTATTCATTTTACAACAGATGTTTGTCTTCAGCTATTTTTCATAGAAGGTCAGAAGTATTTTTGGTATTTTTTAAAGGTGGGATGAATAAGGAAAGGAAATGCACTTCATGACAAAAAAAAGCTATAAGGAGGTAGGAGATACATGTTCAGGTTTTTTCCTTCTTGTTGCTGATTTTTGTGTATCCCCAAGGAAATCACTCTGTGTCTCTTGGTCTGCTCAGCCTGTAAATCCAAGATAATTCCCTTTCTTCTGACTCTACTAAAAGGCTCCTTCTCCCGTGGAAGGTGCCATAGAAAAACAAAATATTTTGTGTGTCTGCATCTAAGGGACATAGGTCTGGAAAAGGCACTCCAGTGAAATAAAGAGGCAAATAGAGAGACCACTGTAACACTTAGGAGAAATCAGGGAAAATAGGGAATAAAAGGATTCATAAGGATGGGATGGCATCGATGAGAAACAGCTGGACCATATGGGTGTACCCACTGACCTAAGATGTGGGATTTTAACTTGTACTGACAATTATTTGGTTGGACCATCTCTGGATATACAGGAATTGGCAGAGCCTCAGAAGAGGCTCAGGAATCACTGTGGAGTCCCACCTGGAGGAAGGCCTTGAGCTACACTTTTGGAGCTTCCAGTAAACCCACCTGGATTCAACTGTTCAAAAGGTAGGCTTGTTCAGCTGAAGGACTTGCAAAGATGTGGTGATCCTCTGAAATCCTGTGGCGTCTCTTCAGCTGCCTGGTCTGCTCTTTACACAAAGATTTCTTGGGTATTGTTCTTCTAAATGTCTCCAAAGGCAGTTCTGAGAGGGACAAACTGAGGGTTAACAGTGGTTGGATGAATAAAACACTCCAAAATGAGCACTGCTGCTGAAGCCTTAACAGGGAAATCTTTTGGCTACACCATTTAATACGACCCACATGGGACAACGAATTTTATGGTACTTGCAACACTCCCTCCTCCTCTTGGCAAGTGGGCATTGCAAACCATTAGAATTTATGGGATATCTGATCTGCTTGTGCCTCAGAGGAAGAAAAGGAGATAAATGGCCCAGTCTTGCAGATCTGACATGACTCATCTCGTTGATGTTAACGAACTGGTCGACTCAAGATCAGGAAGTTGAATGCATGGGATGCTACTGTTGACATGGTCTGTTGGTTAGAGAAACACTACTGCATGTAACACTTCTATGCAAAACAGCCTCAAGAAGCAGAACCTCCTGCTGCTATTTTAGGTTTTTTAAAGAAAAGTATAATCTCGTGAACAGAGTGAAAAACAAGAGAGGTCTCTCTGAGGTCCCAGTGCTGGGTGAGGTGTGATAAATGTGTGGTGACTGACTCTGGTGCCTGCTCTCCTCTACTGCAAAATCCTGCTGCAATAACAGAGCTGGCAGGAGGGAGCCTTTGTCCAAATCTGCCTTCAGCAGTGACTTAAGTAGAGGTGCTGGACTTGGTACTGCAGCAGTTGAAGTGTGTGCAGATAATTTTGTTAATACAGGTATAGTGAGTCTGAATGGGTCATGGCTTATTTTTATACCTTCCAATGAAGGAGTGTGTAAGTGCAAGGCAGAGTTGTGTCTCCCTGCAGTGGCAATTCTAATGTATTGCTGAGCAAGGTTACCCAAAAGACTGTGCTCTCAATGTGCCCTTTTGTTACTCACACAGAATGAGTTTCTGACCCCTTGGTTATTTTGAGGTAAGAAATAAGAAAAACTGTTTAGTTTCACGGTACATCACAATATTCAATGAGCCTGTCCCTTGGGAACACAGAGAGCTCTCAGATCTTAATATAGACATCTTTCAAATGAGATCATTAATGTGCATATATCTGGATTTAGGGCCAATGCAAGCACTTCGATTTTTGCCTGCCAAATTTTCATTTTTGGCTTCATTTTCTTCCCACATATTCAAAGAACTGTACCACATGGAATCCTTTAAACAATAGATGGGATAACATAATTTTTCAATTGCTCTTGAAAAGGTTTTTAACCACATAAACTATTCCAGGGTTCGCTAAGAAGTTACCATTGCAAATAATGTAATTGTTCCAGACTGAATTCCTTGCATTCCAGAATACCTTTTGAAGCAAAGAGCATGACTGGTTTGGGATTTTTAACCAACCTCTTTATGGTAATACTTAGATGAATGTAAATTTTCTCCAAAAGCTTTGCATTAAAGAGAAAGGACCAAAGCCTACAAACACTCAGAGCTGCAGAACTAATACTCAATGCTAATGACCCATCAATCTCACCAGAAGGAAAATAAACATTTAAAAATTAGGAAACCCTGAACACTTTATTTTAAACAAATAAAAAAAAGTGAGAAAAACAGTAGAAAAACTCTGGCAAATGTAGAAATAAAATAAGATAAAGTGCAAGCAGTAAATTCTGGCTCTCCTCTTCCCTTTTGCTTAGAAGGACAAGGCTGTTACTTGCCTTTTGAATGAGGCCAAGGCTCCCTGTCCTGAGCCACCGAGTCCCTCCTCAAAGGTGTGTGCAATTTCTGCTTCCCTGGCCTTCACCTGCAGTTAAGAACACACATTTTTTTTCTGGTCACAGGTTTGCTCTCCACATTGGAACCATTCTCGTTGCACTCATCTAAAGGTGATATCCTTTCATAGTTTGTCCAATGGAAACTGTTACCAAACTCTTCACTTTGTAACACCTACAGGTAGAGTCACCTGGGAGAGAGGAAATCAGCTCTCCCACTTGCCCAGGCAGAGTGGCCCCAGTGCTGTAATTCTTTTCTTCTGTGAGTGCACTGGAGTTTAGTCTCAGCAACCCACAAAGCTGCTTCCCAAATCCACCTCTTTACTCGGCTTTCTTGGATTAATTGAATTAAGCAGTGGGTGGTTCATGAGTTGAACTCCACTGGGGAGCAGGGCCTGTAATTCACTGCAAACTCCCACCGTTCAGGGCACAGCAGAATCAAACTTTTTTTGTGGCCAGAAAAGCAACAGAAATGGAAAACAGCCCAATTCAAATGGTCTTTTTAATCTCCACTTTGATTCTGTGCTACAGAATCAAAATGCTTCTCATTTCCCACACATCAGCCTGTTTCCACTGGATTCACACCAGATGTAGACTTGGCCTTGCATGTCCAGAAATTTAGTTTATCTTTTTAAAGGCTCTGGTTTTTGTAGAATTGGCTTAGCTGGAGTATAAAACAATAGTATCTCGTGCCTTTCAAAACTAAAGGAATTAGATCTGTATTTTATTAGCCTCACTTCCTGTGAATACAAAGCTTTTGTGATCATACCTTCCTCAGTTTGGTCACAGTCCTGTCCCTCTGATCATCCACACCAAGGGACTTGTTGGAGTGTGCAGTGGCCTCCTCCAAAGCTCTGCAGTTTGTGGCAAGTGGCAGTAAAAGGTATGTAATTGGGTCCTATCCTGACATAGAGTGGGGACATAGTGAGGGTAACTCAACCAGAGCTGGGATCTGGGACTAGTTTCAGAGATAAGGATAGTGATCAATGCATTCTTCAAAGCCTTATGAAAAGAGATGCTTCACTTGAGGTTAAAGAGCCCCAATTAAAGGAAAAGAAAAAAAAAAAAGCAAAAGCAAAGACCCAGAAAGAGAAAAATCTTTCTACATGACCAAAAGAAATAAGCAGGAAAAGTTTCATTTGGAACTTGAGCATCCATATGCACTCAAGTCAACCAACCACAAGACAGAACTATTAGGAAAACATTTAATTACCTCTTTCCCCACCTGTTTATTTTCTTCTGACAAAAAGAAAATACTTCTTCTCTCCAAGATGTGTTGTGTGAATTATTTCACTGTGCTCTTTGCAACCAAACAACCCCAGTCTCACTCAGCTTCCTCCTGGACTCCAGCAACTGCAGTGTGTTCACACTCACTGCTTGTCCCTGGATGTTACTGCTCAAAGAAAAGCTTCAAACTTCTCTTTTTCAGAAACCCTACAGGATTAAATTTCAGGCAGACTGCAGGGGGACAGCTGCTCCTCCTCCTGTACTAACACAGCACATGCTCTCCAGGAAGATGCATCTTCCATTCACTCGTGTCTGCTGCTGCTGAAAACACCCATGTTAGACTTGTAGGCCAAGTAAATTTAATAAAAATTCATGGGATTTTAGGAGCATTATTTCTGGAGAAGCTTATTGCAGAAATAGTCTCTGCTCACCTGCCTCACTGGTTCCTCAATACTGCACTTGTCCAACATGTGCCCCACAGGGATTGACGTTCAGGACTCCTGGTCTCTGCTGGTTCTGCACTGCAACAGGCCTGTTCCTCTGACTGCAAACTGCTGCCAAACCTTCTTCACCTCTTTGAAGATTGAGCTGAATCATGTTGGGAAATCCTTGGAGATCAAGGCTATAAGAACTACAAGTGATTAGAATTAAATGGGACATTCTGGGAGGCACAGAGGAAGTTACTCAATTGTTCCAGGTTAGAAGACATTCTGATAGATACTACTTAAACCTTTGCCTCTGTCAAGTCCAATTACTGTCCAGAAAAAGCAGGAAAGATTAGGTAAAAACCATATCTATAAAGCTAGTCCAGCTCTAGATGGAAGAACAAGAAGGAAAAGTAGAAGTACAAGCCCCTTGAGGGTTTTTATACTCTTCAAACTACATACAAAACCCATTTAGAATGTAAGCTCAGGAGTTCTAATAAAGGTTTTGGAATGTTGCAATTCTAATTGTCAATTGAAGTGATGGAAGTGATACAATATTCATTCCTTAATAAACACTTGTAGGTACAACAGATGTCAGGCTTGATATCATCTTACTTTCTATTTGCAGCTGGAGTGATGCTGCACTCAGTTTGATCCTGGACCATCCAAAACGTGCCAGAGTTTTGCCTCAACATGAACCAGATGAAAATAAGTGCTGATAGGGGTGTTTTGGGGTACCCATATGAACACAGAGCAGGGCAGAGTTTCAAGAGCTCAGTTCCCACAGGACTAGGTTTTCAAAGGGACTTATGTGTTGAATGCTTGTAATATCCAGCTACTTGTAAAAGAGCCTAAGCAGGAGCTAAGAAATGTGTAAATGTGCCTCAAGTGATAGATGCTTCATCCTTTGATCATCTTGTCACTAAGTCAGCAATTCTGTGAGCAGTTGGCACTTTTGGGTTCTCCAAATACCCACAAAAAAAAAAGCCCTACATGTCTCAAGTTGGGAACACTGAAAAGTTAAGTCTTTAGTTTAAGCCTGCTTTTTACAATGGCAAAGACTTGAGAAGATTTACCCCAACTGATCGAAAAGGGTAAACCGGAATAATTTTCACAGATTCCCTATTTCAGGTTTGCGTTTGGTTTAACTGAGCAAAATTTTATCAGGAAATCCAGAATCCCGTGCCTTGCTATACCATGTATTTTGACAACAAGGCCTGAAAAACTGTGGCAATAAGAGAGATCGAGTTTAAAAGGGATTGATTTTAGGGTGTGTAAGGCATAAGAAAGGCGAGTCGTAACAGATCTTGCCCATGACAGGACTTGGTATCATAATTTCCACTCTAACTCTGCTTTCTGTGATTTTACACGAGCTCAAATGATGCAAATCTACCATTTTATTGGTAAAAACCTAAAGTTTAGACACGTTCTCCCAGTTAGGTGGAAGGACTAAAGCCCATCCACAGAGACCAACCACAGGTGGTGGGGAAGGGACCCCGTGGCTGGTCAGGCTCCTTCCACTGCCCCCCACCCGGTCACACCTCAACTATTAAGTGTTCAAGTGTGACAACTATAGTAGGTCAGGCATTAATACACCAATTTCCACACCAAGTGTGTAATTTACTGATAAAACTTTCTGAATGTTTACCCATCTTAGGTGCTTCCTTCCTCATCACGTCAAGGAACGACTCGATGTGGCCCTCAGTGCTCTGGGCTGGTCGACAAGGTGGTGATCGGTCAAATACTGGACACGATGGTCTCAGAAGTGTTGTCCAGCCTCAGTGAGTCTGTGATTGTGGGGCAGAATAGTGTCTGTTGGTGTTGCTTAAACCGATTTCCTGAATAACAAACACCAACTATGCTTTTAGGCTGCAGACCCAGGGGCGCGGCACTGAGGGGAGAGGCCTGGGCGGGGACCCTGGACAAGCCACCGCCACCTTCACCCTGTCCCTGTCCCTCTCCCTATCCTTGTCCTCAGTCTCTATTCCTCTCCCTCTCCCTGTTCCCAGCCCCTGTCCCCTATTCCCAGTCCCTGTCCCCAGTCCCTGTCCCTCTCCCTGGCTCCAGTCCCTATTCCCTCTCCCTGTTCCCTATTCCCAGTCCCAGTTCTTCTCCCTATCCCTGTCCTCACTCCCTATTCCTCTCCCTCTCCCTGTCCCCAGTCCCTATTCCCAGTAGCTGATCCCCTGTCTCTATTCCCTGTCCCCCGTCCCTGTTCCCTGTCCCCAGTCCGTATTCCCAGGCCCTGGCCCTGTTCCCAGTCCCTGGCCCTATCCCTGTCCCCAGTCCCTGTCCCCAGTCCCTGTTCCCTCTCCCCACCCCACTCCCAGTCCCTGTTCCCTCTCCCCACCCCACTCCCAGTCCCCGTCCTCACCCCGCTCCCTCCCAGCCCCGGCGGTCGTTCCCGTCCCTCACCCCGGGCGCCTGAGCGGGGCTCCTCCTCCTCCTGCTGCTGCTGCTGCTTCTTTCCTCCTCCTCCTCCTCCTCCCGCTCCTCCCGCCCGTCTCTCCTCCCCTCCCGCCGCCGGCAGCCGCTGCTGTCACGATGAGGCGGAGGAGGCGGCGGCCCGGCCCGGCCGCTCCCGTCTCCCTGCCCGTGGCGTAGCGGTCCCCGCCCGGAGGAGGCCGCGGCGGCGGCGCCCGCCCAGCCCGGCCCGGCCCGGCCCGGCCCAGCCCAGCCCAGCCATGGCCCAGCCGGGCCCCAGCGCCCCGGCCGACGGTACCGCGGGGGGCGGCGAGGCCTGCGCAGCACCGGGCTCGCCTGGGGAGCCGCGCCGGCCGCGGGGCGGGGGAGGCGGCCTGGCCGGCCGGGAGCGGGGAGGAGTCCGGGGAGCTCGGCCGCGGCTGGTTTTCGGGGCTGTAAATGTGTAGCGCGGTGCTGCCGGGGAAGGGGAGCCCAGCCGCCGTGTGCGGGGGGAAAGAGGCCTCCCCGCCCTGCCGGGGAGATGTATCCAGGGATAATCCGCCCGGTGGGACTCGGTCATTGGTTCGGCCGCGGCAGGTGGTGGTGGGGTGTGCCCCGAACCCACCGCGGGAGGGTTCGGACGGTGCTCGGTGTGGACGGTTCGTCCCTGTGCTGGAAAAGACAAAGAAAAATGACACGTCTCCTCCCGAGGTGGTATCTCTACCTGTGCAGAAGGAAGCTAAGCTTTCCCTGATTGTTGTCGTGGGAGGGTTGTTTCTGGCTGGTTTGGGAGGAATTACAGGCGTTTTTTACAGTGGAGTAGGTTATGGAACTGTGTGCATGTTAAAAAAAAAAATACTGTAGGTATTGCTTAGCTTGGAAGGTGGGATGGAAGGGACAGTGTTTAGTGTGTGGGATGTATGGGAAGGGGTGGGGAAGCAAGAAATCTGAGTTGAGGCTGGGCATAATGTAGATACAGGAGAACTGGAGGGATGTGCAGAATCCTGAAGGATTGGTGCTTCCCCAGCCTGGGACTAGGCCAGAGCTCTCCTCTTCTAGAGAACAGTTGAGTTTCCCTGGGAAAGCACTCTGCTAGAAAAGGGCAATGATGTATTCTTAATTATGCATGTCTAGGGAATTATGTGGGCGCTTTTTTTTTTTTTTTTTTTTTTGGTTGAGTTACACGAGAAAGTGCTTATCCTCAGGGATTTCAGGATTTCAGGCTGCCTTTTAAAAGTTTTAATGGTGAAGGTGCTTAGATTGTGGGTTTTCCCCTGCATTAAGGTCAGTGATTGCTTGCTGGCCTGCTGAGGGGAAGGTGGATTTCCTTGCTGTCATGCTTGTAAGGTCAGCGTTGTATGGGTTGTTCTCGTGTACTTTCTGGTGAATAACCATTGTTTATTGTTCTTTAGCCTGTTCTTCTGAGAGCTGCAGAACAACTTCCAACAAAATTTCTTCCTGGCTCTTGCAGGCTGTCTGACCACAGATGTGCAGTGTACAAATGTTTGCTGCCTCTTGGCCAGGGAAGGTAGTTGTGTCTTAGTAGTACATTAGAAGATGCAAGTTGGGTAGATTTTTGTTGTTGTCGTTTAAAAAGAAGGCGAAAAAGGTGCAAGTAAATTTAGTGATTTGATAGGTTGGTGAAGTCTGTCTTGTAGGAGGTATGGTTTGATGTCTTTCTCCTGCTGTGGGGAGATGAGGATGCTGTAAATAAGACACGTGGCAGGAGGAACTGGCTGCAAGTTGGATGAGTTCTGAAAGTGGTTGCTGTGTTTCTACACTAAGGAATTACAGCTCCTAAAATGGCTCCTCTCCCCATCCTCCTTTGGCTGTAATAGGACCAGTTTGGGGTTGGTTTTTTCAATCCACTTTGATTACTATCCTGTTGTTCTCATCTATGCTGGTTTTATTTGTAAGTAACTTGCCAAAAGTGTGCCTTGAAACTCTGTTCTGTTTTAATGTGGAGAGAATTGAAGAAATGAATTATTTAATATTTTTAGTTGTCTGCACTGCATTTATTGCTTAAAGGAGTAGTGTAACCTCTGATTTAAGATTATATGTGATAAAATAGAACTGGATTAATATGTTCCCCTAAGGAAAAAGAATGACTTTTTGTAATTACTTATATTGATTATAAATACCTTATGCATTCTTTACTTGTGCAAGACATATCAGCTAGGATTTGTTTTGTGGAAAGCAAATATAAAAGAACTAAAATTTCTACTGTAGTAGAAATAATATATATGGAACAACATGAGAGGACTATAATATAGAATGTATCTTCTATTTCAGAGCCTCTACTGGATGGAAAATGGGCCCAAGAATAGGGGAAGGAATAGTGCAAAGAAACAGGAAAAGAATGGATGTCATGTGCTGCCCTGGGTTTGTACTTTGGATTAGTGTAGACCTTAATAACCCTCTAATCCGTTGTGTGGGGTAACAGTTTCTATATGATAAGAATCACAGAGAGGCCAAGTGCAGAGTCCTTGGTGCTGGTGGAGCTTTGTGAACTGTGAGCTCACGATGTTGACCTGTGTTGCAAGTGGGGGCATGCTGCTTACTGAGCCTGCTCAAGGGGCTTTTTGGGGACATTTAATTTATATGTGTTGTCTGGATTGCTTGACCAGAACAGTAATGTCTTATTTTTCAAAATATTTTTGTTTTGAATATCATACTCAAAATTCAAACCTCTCAGCCTCCCAGGGTTGAGTTTGGATCTGGGTGCTTGCCATCTCTGAAAATAAGGTTACCAAACAACATGTTTTGGCATAGCTTTTCCCTCTCAGAGTGCTCAGGCTTTAGTATAATTCCCTTACTCATATTTGGAAAATGCTTCAATGAAGGAACTGCAGTACCATAAAACACTAAATCTTCAATACCAAAGTTAATTAGAATGATATGTCAATTATTCAACTCTTGCTGCCATAAACTGAAACCATTAGTACAGTCAGGCTGATAATTAGCATATCCATTGATATTATTCAGTGATAAACTGTTAATGGCACAATCTATCAGATATTTTAATAAGAATTTGCAGAAAGAATCAATCCAATATTGGAGTAACACCTTCTTCCCCCTGTGCTTAGGCCAGTAAAAGTGGTGTCTCTGTGGTGGGAGGATGTGCCAGCTCTCAGCCAGAGAGCTGCTGGGCTGTAGGTAGAGGATTGGAAGGCGTTGTCATGTTGATTTTGGTGCCACCAGCAGCTCCATGATCCTCATTGTGTCCCTGTGTCAATAATCCAGGATCCCCAAAAGAACTGGGAGTTTCTGTTGCTGTGCTCATCACACCCCAGGGGCTGAGCGTGAGGGACCAGGCTTGTCAGAAAATTAAGTAGCAAAACCTTAGATGGTTTTATGTTTCCAGTTACTTCCCTTGCAAGTGTATCACTTTAAAATGAAGTGGAGGTATCTAAAAATGCTGTTACTCATCTCCAGGCGAGGTGTGGTTTGGAGGGGACTGGCTGTGAGTGCTGATGTCCAGCTCTGCATTGTTGATGTAACTGTCGGATGTCAAACCCTTCTCTCTTGGGGAGTATCTTCAAAATTGCTGCTACTTTCCAAAAATTTCTTCCTTCACATTAATTTTTCTTGGTTTATTATTATTTACTTGTTCTGTTATTAATAGTTGCTGATATTACACAGCAAATATATTTTGAATTTAAACCCACCAACCTTCACGCTTTTTGTTTTTAGGCTGTGTGTTTTTCCACATCAGTTCAGTGGACAAGTCTGGAATTTGATTTCAAAAGCAAAACACACACCTTGAACATACATGTTCCCACCTTTTAGAATTTCTAAGGGAGTTTTGATCCACTCAGCAGGTCAGTTTGCTCCAGCGTGGAAATATGAACATTCAAGGTCTTTTCCTGTTTAAGTCAAGTCCCAAATTTCTGTCTTAATTTTGAAAAATAACACGATCCTGATCTTTATAATCACCTGTTGATTTGCCTGAAGGCACAATGAATATACTTTAACCTGTGGACTGACTCTCTATTGTATTTTGAATGCTGGAAGATATAAACTCTTTGCCCATTTTTATTGCTTCTTGGCAGCTTCATCGTCATCACAGATGATGGACTTACTAAGTGTTTTCTTCCCTCCCTGGCCTGGTGCCTTGGGATGCTGAGCTGCTTTCCCATAGCCCTTGATGGGTGGAACTGGTTTGTATGTGCTCCCTTGCAAGTGATTGAAGAAGGAATTTTGTTTAAAAACTTTTAAGAAGCTAAAGCAAACAACGTCTGTCAGCGTGGGAGTGGATCAAATCCCATCGGCTTCATCGGGGCTGATGGTCGAATAGGAGACTTGCTGGGCTTTCACTGCAGGCACTTTATTAAAACTGCTTCTCAGATGTGAAGTTTTCTATACTAAATTTAGGTATTTTAACTACATACTTTTCTTTAAAAAAATATACCAAGTGTGTAGCTTAAAAAAAAGGCAAAAGCCTGAGGATGAGGTTATGGCTTTACTCTGACTGAAGTCTCCCAAGATAAGAACTGGTAACTTTGATAAGCAGCACTTCCTAACCAATCTGCTATGAAAGCCATTGTGTGTGTGGATTTCAGAGGAACATCTTTCACACCAGACTCTGATGCTTCTGAATCATTCATAGGTTTTACTTTCAGAATTGGGTTTAGTGTCTGGTTTAGTGGTGGCTGAGTTAGTGGTACTACCCTCTTCAAGCTATTCTATAAATAGGGGAAACATTGTCTCCTTTTAGTCATGGCATAGTCAGTTAAGCATGATGATGAATTATCTCTGGAGAAATTTAAGTCATTTGATATTTTTATATAAACTGACATAGGAAGAACGAGTGAATAGTGTACCCTTGGTTAATATTTCTGTATCTTTCAGAAGGAAGAGCATTGCTTGGAAAAACTTCTGGGTTGTCCTGTTGCTCTATTGCAGTGCCTGTAGTACCTTAAGAATGCAGAAGTGCAGCATGACTGGGGATATAATGAGGAATTGTGTTTATTTATGTATTTTTTCCCATTCATGTCCAGTTCTGTCAGCCACAACTCCCCCTGGCATTCAGCTGACTTGTGGTGGTGCTTCTCCCCTTCCTGTCCCTATCCTGTGCTTGTCTCCTCAGGCCTGACTCCTCCAAATACA